GACTGTGCCTAGAATCTGTCAGAGTGAGCAATGACGCGGTCTCAACGTGAATGTGGGGATGGACGCCTTCGCCAAGGGCTTGGTGGGGGCAGCGGCGCTTTTGGAGGAGGGACTTCTGCCCAGGATGGTGGCGGCCCGCTACGCGAGCTATGCGGAGGGCTTCGGGAAGAGGCTGGCGGAGGGGCAGGCGAGCTTGGAGGAGTGCGAGGCCTTCGTGGCCGAGCACGGGGAGCCGAGGCTGGTGTCAGGGAGCCAGGAGAAATTCCAGAGCATCTTCAACACGTATGCCTGAGGCGCGCGGGAGGGAAGTGCAGGGAGCGATGGAGGGTGGGAGGAGCTCGGGCGAAGGGTGGCGGTGGGTGCCTGGAGCTGGGGCGAGTGAGTGGGAGAGGAAGAGACAAGAGGCAGTGATTGGAGAAGCGGCAGTGGTGAGAGGGATTGACGGCGCGGAGACAGGGGCGAGGCGACTCGGTAAGGAAGTTTGACTACGTGGATTCGCCTCCGGCAAGCACTTTCTCCAGCTTTTTTACGTGAAAAAAAATAAAACACTTTGTTTTGACACACTGATACTTCCTCTTTAATTTCGAGATGCTGTCTTTCTAATTTGCTGAGCCGAGCCTCCGCGCCCTTCCTTCTCGCACACGCCCTCCCCTCTCTCCAGCCCTGCCTCTGCCCCCAGGCCTCCCTCCGACCCCTCCTCACTTAGGCGCGGGCCGTGGATCCGCCAGCGGCCTCTCCTCCAGGCGCTGCGCGAGAGAGTCCAGATTCGGCTTGTTGTTGGCCCGCCACAGGCCGGTATCGATCACGCGCTCCACCTGCTGCACCTCTTTGACCAGCTCCTTCTCCAAATTCTCCACCTCGCGGCCCACCTCCTTCCCCACCCGCCCCTCAAACTCCGAGATGACACGCTCCAGCTCCTTGACCGCCGCTTGCGCCTCCTTCTCCTCCATCATGATCGCGTTTCCCGCCGTCACCCGCGCGGTGGTCAGCGCCTCCTGCAGCTGCTGCTCCTCTGTCAGGAAGAGTCTCCGCGCGAACTCGGCCCGCAGCGCCGTCGGGTTCTCCTTCAAGTCGCTGCAGGAGTTGTCCACGTCCTTGAAGCGGGCATAGTCCACGTTGGCTTTCGCGAAGGCGGCGGCGATGCGCTTCTTGTACTCGGGGGGGACGCTCGACTGCTTCGTGTAGACGACGCCCCCGCCGTAGCCGGTCCAGGCGTCGTTCTGGCCCCGGTAGTAGACGGCGATGAAGACGTTGGGTTCGTAGTCGAGGATGTACCAGTCGTCCTGGTAGTGGAGGTACTCGTTGTCGTGGTTGTAGAGCTTGCCCGGGGCGCGCGGGTCCTGCACGAAGCGCTGCACCGTGTCCCGCGTGAAGAACTCCCCGTCCGGTTCCGTGATGCGCCAGTTCAGCTTTCCGTAGAGCCGGTCGCCCTGCACGGTGAAGAAGTGGACCTGGCAGTCGAAGCAGTCGAAGAGCGGATTCAGGCCCGCGCTGATGTACCACTTGCCCTTGAAGGTGTTCATGTCGAAGGACGAGACCAGCGCCGAGTCGGGGGGCACCGGGTAGGTCCCGTCGTCCTCCTTCCGCGGCACGCACTGCTTCTTGCTGAGCGCGCAGGCGTTGAACTGCCCCACCACCTCGTTCTCGAACAGGTCCCCGCAACCGATCTGGCACCCGACCTCGTCCGCCTTGTTGTTGCACGTGTTCAGGCAGATCACGTTCGCCAGGCACTTGGGGTCAAGAATGCACCGGGCGAGCTCGAGCTGGCACTCCTTCAGCAGACACGTCCCCACCTTGATACTGTCCACCGCGGCCGCCACGGGCGGGTGAAGCATTCCCCCCGAAAAGAGACTGCCCCCGTTCACGGCCAAAAGCACCGGTACGGCCAAAGAGAACGCCCTTCGCTTCAGGGCTTGCAAGGAGAGGACATCTTTGAACCAGAAACCCGGCGACCTCGCCTGATTCCCGGAGACCGGCCTCTCCTTCGCCGCGGGGTCGAGGAGACGCCGGGTCGCCTGCGGATCGGCCCACCACTCCAAGGGCGCCGGCCCAAGACCTCGTTCCTCGGGCCGTCTTCTTGCACCTGATTCCTCACTGGGTCCGGCTCTCATGTGAGGTCTCCTGGAACGGCCAGTGACGGCACTCGGCGAGCAGGGGGCTGAGGCTAGGGAGGAGTAGGACACTGACAGGGGCGCAGGGAGGAAAGCTCGGGCCGGGGCTGCCAGCAGGACGACAACTCCCACGAAGGCGAGGACCAAGCACATAGGAACAGAATAACAAGAGTGATCTATTCTTCTCCGTGTCCAACCCATGGCCTTGCTGAAGCTGTAAGGGTTTGAAAAAGACGCGTCCAGGGTACATGAGGTTACTTGAACCACTTTTGGTGGGTATAACGCGTGCCATGCACCGCCCAGGCAAGACGAAAATTGAGAAGATTAGACCGTCAGAACTCTCATGTTAAATTTCATTTTCTTGTGCAATATATTTTTGACGTTATGAACCGGTTATCTTGCAATGTGTTACCGTATACACGTAAAAAGGGTGGCAGCACAAGAGAGATCCAGCCACCACGCCGGCTTGGTCATCGCTGCTCGCCAGGACAGCCACGCTACTCAATTTTACTTGCCGTCGAACACCAGTTTGCATCCATCCACTCCCTTTCGGCACAGGCTGGCAGTCCATACGAGCCCTGCGATGAGGGCATCCTCGTCGGGACCCCCTGAGGCCTCCACCTACCACGAAACCAAGGTACCACGTGTTCTACCTCCCCACCCCCCCACGCCGGCGGACCCCCTTCTGAGCTACCCCCTCCCTGTCTTACGTTCTATCAGGAGATTAACGGCGTCCTCACAGATGTTACCATTTTCAATTTCAGTGACCGAATATTCCTTACGATCTCGCAAAATGCTCGGTTTGGGACCCTGGTAGGTGGGAGGGAGGCGGTGCAGGGTATGTAGGCTCGTCCGTCAACAAGTTGAGCTTAGGTTTCAGGAGGCTTGTGCCTCGTGTCTCGGTTTCAAGCTGTAGAGCATGATCCAGTGCGCGAGACAGCGTTAGGTTTCCTCGCCGGATTCGTTTGTCATGGGGCTTCATCTGATCTCGGTAGTAGACGAACATTGGAGGCGACCTCTTTAGACATCGTACTCAAAGAAACCCTGATCCTGACAGATATCAGCCAAAGCTGACGACAGCGTGGCTCGTCCAGGCGCTGCTCCCTCCTTCGATGTGAGTGTACTCCTCGGCCGACGCGATGACCCCCTACTCCTCATCTACGCGCGCCAGCTTGTAGAGACAGTGAGCAGATCCTCCTCCCGCCCGCTCCTGCTCTCAATATCCCTGAGGGAACGGGATCCAAGCACATTCGAGCAGGTAGCGGCCTGGGTCAGGCCCTTACTCTGATATCGGACGATCAGAGCCCGGCTTCCAGCGAGCAACGATGTACAGAAAGGGGGGCAAGTAAAGACGGAAAAGCAAGAAGTGACTCGGAACCAGGGCGTCTTTCCCGTTTGTTCTCAGTTTTGGCCCCCGCATGATCTATCAACCCGCTGTCTGCGGAACATTTGCTCCCTCAAAACCGACCCGACACAACGAGAACCCGCACAATCTGCCACCCTGGAGGACGTTCTCCACATCGCCTAGAGTTCCCCATCGCCGCCGTTGGCACTGGCGGGGCCCGCGCGGGCCGCTGCCCTTTTCTTCCCCTGCTCCTTTTGCCTGCCCTTGGGCTTTCCCTCGTTCATGTAGACAGTGGTGCCCTTGGAGGAGTAGAGGGCCTGCTGGTCCTGCCACTCCTGTGGCCCCTGTCCCTGGCCCTGCAGCCCCGGGCCCGAGAACACCTCCTTGGTGAAGGCCTCCATGGCGGGCGTGACCTGGTTGGTGAGTGCTTTCGCCCATGAGAAGCGGCCGCTCCTGCTTACCCTGCCAGAGGTGCCACACGGTCCTGCCAAAGCCCCCGCACGATGCTACCAGGTTCCTCCCCCGGCCTCGCTCGTTTCCTACCCGCCCCGGCACCTACCTTGGCCACGTACTGGCTCATCTTCCGCTGCACACGTTTCCCGACCTCGGAGTTGCTGTAGTCGGCGATGAAAGCGAGCTCTTCGGCCGAGAAGGTCCCGGCGTACGCCTTCTCCATCACCTGGGTCAGGGCCCGAGTGTCCGACTCGAGGATGGCCTTCCGAATTTCCTGCAATCGCGTGTTTGACGGCCATCAGTAACTTGGATATGGCAATCGCATTTTGAATGCTGGCTGAAGCCAGAGATCGCACCGTTTTAATTGGCGTCAAAATTTTCTTTGACATGAAATGCGCCCCATCCCGAACCTCATCCCTAATTCTTACCTCGGCGGCCTCGCTGCCTTTCAAGCGCGCTGCCTCTTGCACGAGCCCTTCTAGGATCTCGATCAAAGGTGTCCCCTTCATCACCCTCGCGGCATGGTACTGCCGGTTTTCTTTTGTGTCATCCATGAGAGAGAGGTCCTCCAATTTCTCTCTCGGCCTTTGCTGTTGTTTTTGCTGCCTTTTTGGCGTAGCGGTCTCACCCTGCTTCTTCATTTGGGGAGACTTCTGCTCCTTTTGTCCTTTTTTTTGCTTTATTGTGTCCTTAGTCTTTGCATTCTTAGCTTTCGCCGCCATACTTCGAGGAGCCCAGGCAAGCAGTAGGACGATGGAAAAGAACAGGAAGAGGAAGAGATAGGGGATTCGTCGACGCTTCGAAGAAATGACCATTGTCGATGGACAGGGCTAATGTGGCAGACTGTGCCTAGAATCTGTCAGAGTGAGCAATGACGCGGTCTCAACGTGAATGTGGAAGCCACCGTGTAGCAAGTCTGAGGCCCATGGCCCATGCACGGGCCTCGAAGGCAACTACCACCTTGCCCAATCCGGCGATGACGCCTCCATATGATGGATTGCAACCCTGTGGGGATCGGTCCGACCGAGATGATGACGCTTTTCCATGATGGATTGCGACCCCTTCGCCTCCGGCAGGCTGTTCCATGAGCGGCAATCGTAGAAGCAGGAAACGCAAGCCTCCCTCAACATCTCTTTTTTGGAAGAGGTTAATCCATATGCAGCCACACAGCTTTTTTTAAATTTATTTTTACCCATTTATACTTCTGTGGAACATTTCATCATAGGATCTGAAAAGCAAGGGCAAAAGCGAAAGAACGTAGAAATCGACATCACGTTGGATTTCGCCTCATATGCTGCAACTTCGAAGGACGTTTGCCTGCTTTCCATCGCATGCGGATTATGATGACCAGGATGAAGCAGCTGCCGCAGTGGGACACGACTGCCCGGACCGGCGGTGGACGCACACGCGAAAACGTCTTAGGCGGCGAAGTGTTGAGGTATGTGAAGTCCGCTACATGTTGGGAGTGCCATTATGTGACCCAGTCTAGCCTCGACAAGAGATGACTTTGATGTCTCCTCTAGCCCTTTGCTTTTCTTCAGCAATTGAGTCAACGCAGCAAGTTTTGAATTTATCTTCCCTTCTCTACAGTGACGAACGCGGTTGATCCATGCTTGCCTTTAAGTCCCTAGGTGCCTCCATCTCACTCTTTCGCCCGTTTCCTCGTGCCAGGAATGGCTCATGCGTTTCGCCCGCGACATAGAAGCAGCAAATGACGAGATGTCGCGGCAGCAAGCGGAGAGCCAGGCCCCATGCCTGACCCTGAGCACCGAGGTCCTCGACTTGCTCGCCCGCCACCTGCAGGGGTCCCACGGATTCCCGGTTCCGTGATGCGCCAGTTCAGCTTTCCGTAGAGCCGGTCGCCCTG